ATAGTTCTCCACGTCTCCACCCCATACAGTAGAACCATCTTGACATTTGTATTGAAAATTCTGATCTTGGTGTTGGTTGACAGTTGTTTTGAGTTCCGGATGTTCTTTAGTTGTAAATATGCTGCTCTTGCTTCGCCGATCCTTGCCCTTACATCTACATCTGATCCATCGTGTTCATCAATGATGCTACCCAGATATGTAAAGGTTTCCACATCTTCCAAAGCTTCTCCGTCAAGTGTAATTTGATTGCTGCATGTTGTGTTGTATCAGAGAGTCTTGCTTTTCCCTTTGTGTATGTTGAGACCTACTGCTGCTGAGGCTGCTACTACATTGGTCGTCTTCTCCTTTATTTGTTGTTGTGTGTGTGATAGAAGAGCCAGATCATATGCGAAGTCTAAATCGTTCAGCTGCATCCTAGCTCTCCACTGTATCCCGTTCTTCCCTCCAGATGTTGACGTCTTCATGATCCAGTCGATCACCAGGAGAAAGAGAAAGGGTGAGAGTAAGCAACCTTGCCTAACACCAGTCTTTACCTCGAATGAGTCGGTGAGTTGTCCTCCACGGATGATTTGAAAGTTTAATCCATCATAGGAATTCCGTACGATACCTTATCTAGTTCAATATTGTATTGTGTAAACGATATGAGATAAAAAATATTGAGGAGTCCCGCAGTAGGGCGAAACGGACGTCCGATGCTTCCAGGTTTTCCATGGTGGTCTAGCTTCGATTGATTCATGAATTCAACTATACAATTATTAAAATCTTCACAAAACCCCTTATGATAAAAATACTGTTGTCTTGTTAATGATTTCCTTTAGAAATAATCTTCCAGTAATAAACGGTAGTCGGTAACTAAATGTGTAATATATATCTACCGATAATGGTGATCTTCTATTGCAACTATGCTTAAACAATCGCTTAATTTTAGCAGACGCTAATTTTAAGCATAAGGAGAGATATCGTTTAACATGGCGACCCCATGAAGCAAACCAACGATGGACTCAAATAGACCATATTGCCATCAGTCATCGTTGGAGAGGCTCGATAGAAGACTGTCGCTCGTTATGAAGTACATGTTTAGATTCTGTCCATGCTCTAATACGAGCACGCATTTGCTTAAACCTCACTGGACGCAGAAAACTCCACTAAGAAGATTCATCAGAATCGAACTGAGGGACGACAAAGTTAAAAGTAGATTTCAGGAACAACTGAGTTCACATCTATGCAGTTCTGTAAACGAGGCTGGTCCAGATGTTGCTTGGAAAGATGTACGAACAGCTTTGGAAACAGCAGTAACATCTATTAGTAATTTAAACTAAAGGGTTACAGAAAACCAATGGATTTCTTCTAAGTCTATTGCACTGATGGATTCGCGTAAACTCATCCCATCAGGCTATGAACACGACAAAGAGCGTAAACAAATTAGATCTAGATTAACTAAAAGTCTAAGGAACGATCGTGAACAGTGGTGGGCAACGAAAGCAAAAGAGATGGAAAAGGCAGTGACTGTAAGTAACACCGAACAACTTTTCAAACTTACAAAAGAAACTGGAATTAAGAAGTCATGTGTAAGTGAGACGATCACGGAAAAAGACAACGGTGTTATCTGCTCTCAGTCCAGATGTTTAGAACGATGGGGTCAAAATCATCCTGTGATAACCATAGAGGGATTAGTTTGACCAATATGGCATCCAAGATAACAGCCTCAATAATTATCGCGCTTCTAAGACTCGTGAACTGCAAACATGAGAAAATCAGGTTGGCTTCAGACCAGGTCGTGGCTTCATCGACCACATATTCACTATTCGTCAGGTTTTAGAACGCAGACATGCTTACGGCGTCCGAAAATGATAGTTTTTCGTAACTCAAAAGCAGCATTTGACTCTGTAGACCAAGAGATTCTGTGGCAGTGTCTGTCATTAAAAGGTGTACCTCAGAAGTACATAAATCTTGGGGAGGCTATTTACTTGAACACTGCCAGTCGAGTGAGAGATTATGGCGAACTGTCATCTGATTTTACAACCTCAAGTGGTGTCCGACAACGCTGACCACTATCGCCATTTTGTTTGACTTCATTATAGACCTATTGCTGGAAATAACACTCTCTTCGACTAAATTTTAAGGAATTGACCTCCTACCAGGAGGTTTACTTAAGGACTTAGAATACACAGATATCTTAGTCCTGTTTGATGAAGACACGAATAAAGTGCAGAGTGTTTTGGTAGCACTGAGTAACAATGCCAAGATGTTTGGGATGCGTTTCTCCCCATCTAAATGTAAATTGTCACTCCAGGACTGGCCTGCATCAACACCTGAACTAAGGATAGGGAGTGAAGTAGTCGAACGCGTCGACAACTTCATTTACCTTGGAAGTCTGATCAGCCACAATGGGTTGGTGTCTGACGAAATCTCAGCATGCATTCAAAATGGTCGTTTGACTTTTGCCAACTCACGTCACCTATGACGAAGATGATATAACCCTCTAACAATTAAAAGACGAGTACACTGCGCGGCAGTTCGTTCTGTTCCACTTGACGGCTGCGAAACGTGGCCATTAGGAGTAGAAGATAATCGTAAGTTATTAGTATTTGATCACAGATGTTTTAGAAATATCGCTCTCATCTGCTAGGATCACCGGGTAAGTAATAGTTAGACTAGAAGCAGGATATTAAGGAATGGTGGTAAAGCAGTTGATGAGGTTGCAATTCTTCATCGACTGAGATGGTTGGGCCACGTATTACGTATGCCTGAACACCGATTACCACGACGCGCAATGCTGACTAGTGTTGGAGACGGTTGGAAGAAAGTTGGGAGCGGTCAGACCAAAACGTGGCATCAGTTCATAAAGTCACTGACTTCTGGTCTGAGCCACGTTGGTAGATGCAGACTACTTGGTTGGGGTCCGGATGACTATCGTAACCAATGGTTGAAAACTCTGGGTGACATGGCTCAGAGTCGATCACAATGGGGTAGGTGTGTGCACTCTTTGTCTTCCCTCAAACCGTGAGATTAAAATTACTTTATACCTTTCTCTCTACGAACTAATTCTTTCTCCTTGTATTATATTCTTATATGCAATCTTTCTTTTATATATTACTACCATTGAAGTAACTACTTCTGTGAATTTGGTGTTCATCTTGTTGTGCTAATGTGGTGTGGCAACTTGAACCAATGCATTTATGCGCCTGGTCCTACGTTGTAGATGACTAACTGAATACATATCTCATCTAGTAAATGGATCAGATAGTCATTATCCTTTGAAATTTACGGACTACAGAACTGAATGACGACATAGATATAAGATCCATGAAAGTTTGATATATTTGGTGTTCCTTGATGATATTTACTTTAAAACTTCATTATCACTATTTCATATATAAAGAACATCTTTTGTACGTGTTCTGTTCTCCGTTTAATTATAAAACTTCAATTATTCTTCTAATCAACATCATTATATTAGTACAAACTTAAGATAGAAAAGAGCCATTAGAAGTTTTTGCTAATCGACTTAAACTGTTGACACAACAAGCTTTTAGCCTAGAAAAAAGATGAAAGTTTCATGATTAAATCAAGTATGTGAGAGAACAAAATACGTTCACAATCCTTCTCCTGAGTTATCCGACTTCTCTGTTATCTCAGAATATAGCTTATTTCATTAGTTAGTGGTATATCTTGTTCCTAAACTCTCAAACATTAACTTCTAAACCTCTTTGTAATCCCCAAAAGTTTGATATTCTTGAATTCTGAGACAGAAAAGCAAAAGTTGTACCATAATGGAGAATCTTTACTTAGAAGATTAGCTTATGTACAGAAAATAAGGATAGTTACAGAAATAAATGTGTCATTGATATTTTCGAAGCTTCTGGAAAACAGGATAAGATTGGTAACAAATTCAGTAATTGTTCATTCACTATAATAAAAACGTAATTCATTATTTTAAAGAATTCACTTCAAAATTTTCTGAGGTAAAATAAGTGGCAGAAGTATTTTAAGCATCTTCCTTGCTTCTGAAAACATTCCACAATTATCTTCAGGGTCTTAATAATTATCTGTATGGGGTTGTGTAGATTGTTAACCTTTTAATTGAAATAATGAATCGATCGATGTTAGGCCACTATTGAAAATCTGGAAGCATTGGATGGCCGTTTCATCCCAGTATAAGACTTCTCAGCAATACACGTTCACGATCCCGCACGCGTGATTTAAACCTTCGATCTCATAGGCGAACATTTAATCTCTAAATCACTGAGCCGATATCCAATAGTGTTAATATATAACTTTCATAGTTAGTTGACTAGTTAATATAATATTTCCTAAATCACATTTTAATGATAGAAATCGAAGAGAATCCAATCTGACCACCTTCAGTTACTTCATATACTCTTTCCTATCCTTAAAAAGATATCTGAAGAGGTTTTTGTGGAGATTTCAGTATCTTTCATAGTTGAAATCATGAGTCAATTGAAGCTAGACCACCATGGAAAACCTGGAGGCACTGGACGGCCACTTTCTCCTATTTTGGGACTCCTCAGCAGTGTGCATCCACGATCCCACCTCGCGAGATTCGAATCCAGAACCTACTAGTATCGCGCGCGAGCGCTTAACCACCAGGCCACTGAGCCGGCATCCAATGGTGTTAATGTCTAACTTCAACCAATTCACGATTTTGAGCAACCATTCACCAATTGTCTTCAGTGAGTTGATATCTCTACAACAGGCTTGGTTGAACTCCACTGGTCACTGCTTCTCACTAGAACTCCAGGAAATCTCTCTTGAAGTCAGTCACTAGTGAGCACATGATTATTAGTCAGAAGGGGTTTTGTGGAAATTTCAGTATTTCCATAGTGGATGAGCACTGCTGAGGAGTCCTACAATAGTACGAGACGGCAGTCCAGTGCTTCCAGGTTTTCCATGGTGGTCTAGATTCAACTGACTCATGATTTCAACTATGAAAAAGATATCTAATGAAGATTGTAATTTAAAAAATGACAAGAAACAAATCATACATTATATGTTTTATTTCCGCAAGTGTAAACAATTAAAGATTGAATCTATGCTTACAAATATGTATATGTATATATAGAAATCAAAATAAGATTATACATCGTCATTCAATAAGCTTTATAATAAATTCATTACAATTAAATGTTACATTCTGTTTCTATGTCAATGTTGTTCAGTGCTTACTCTTTGTGTGTGTGTGTGTATGTTTCTTTCCTCCATTCACATTCATTCATCCATATCTCATGAGACTTCCAAGATGATTTTTTGAATTGATATAATATTCTTCATCTAAATTATTATTATTATAATCATTATTATTGTTACGATCATTTCTTGGATTATAAATATTATCATCTATACTACTATCATCTATATTAGTAGTTTTAATATTTTGTTGATGATTAAGTAAACGATCTGTATGACCACCAATGAACATTGCTCTAACTAAATTTGTATCTAAGGGTTCAAATAATTCATAACGTTTTTGTAATGGTAATAATGATGATGAATGTGTTCTTGGTAGATAATAATAATGGTGATGATGATATTTGGTTAGTTTAAATGTTGTACAATAATTATTAGAAAGGTATATAATGAATAGAACGAATAAGATTCTTGAGAATGAATCCTTTCTTATTATCATTAGTAGATATATGTGACTCTATAAAAATAAAGGGAAAAAATAGTGAAAAATTGAAGTAAATGATTAAATTCACTTAGTATTGTTTGTTTGAGTCTTCCCATTGATGTTTAGGACTACAACTGTTCAGTCTATTATTGACATATGTGCATACTGTGCGTATTGCCTCGATATAGCCTAAATTCACAAGCACTCTAAGCAAAGATGACGTTTGAAGCGAAAAGTACTGGGTTCGAGTCCGAGAGTGAACATCGAATCTGAGATGCAGGTACATCCATCTGACGAGGCCCAAATAGAACGAAACGCGCTCCAAACTGGATTCCACTGCTAGCCACTATCCATCTCTGCTTACTATGCTTGTGAGTTAAGGCTATATCGAGGCAATACGCACAGTATGCACATATGCCAACAAGAGACTGACCAATTGCAGTCCAAAATAACAATGGTAAGATACAAGTAAAAAACAACAAGTGAATACTACTTCTTTATATTTATAACCTCAGCTAATAATTTACAATCACCATTCATTACCATTATTAGTATTTGTCTCATTCCCTATATGGTTGAACTCAACTAGTCTTCGTTTCTCATTAGAACTTCAGTAATTACCTTTGGAAATTAGTCATTAGTGCAAACACTTATGATTACTGTTAGTGTTTAATAGTTCATATCACCGGCTGATTCTTTTTAGACGAGCATTAAAAATCAAGAATCAAAGGACAAAAGTCTTGTTATGGTGTGAGAATCCTAAACAGAGAGTATCTCTGACTCTATCAAAAATCAAAATCAGGACCATTAAGTTTCTCAGTGAGTTATTAACCTTAAGATTACTGAGTTGACGCACAATCATTTACACTTCTGTCTTTAAAATTCAGCTATATCCACAAAATCCCTTACACTAATAGTAGTATTGTTCACTATGAAAACTGCGATTGATTAACACAAATCATTAAAGAATTTCATTAATTCATTTCGAAGTAAGTCACTAGTGAGATCAATTTTATGACGAGTAAGAACAATCTCCACAAAACCCCTTTAACACCACAAAGCTAAATTATAGCGATTTCAAGTAAATTAATAGTCGATTCAATATAAACTGATCACATCTTCGTAGACCATCTTTCCGAACAGCTTGGTTTTCTTATAATTGTGATCATATACAATGGTTCATAATGCTTTGCTAAAATCTTTTCATATATTTGATCCCCATCTTTACAATCCTTAGTTGTTGAATACCTTCATTAAAAAGTAGCTTTCAAGCCATAAATTAAGTCATAGAACTCCTTGAAAATGAAAAACTCCTAATTGAAGTATATTAAACCGAGTTTACTCAGATGAAGTAATGCTTGGGAAGATTTTTAAACACCAGTTTACATTATAGTATATGTTCAAGGGAATTAAAACATCCTCTAGCCAAAAATGTAACAGTCATTCATATCATTTTGGTTATAGAAACATTAATCTATTTGAGACATTCCAAACACTATGATTTTAATCCTTATCGGAAATCACGTAAAACTTCTTATTATCGTTTCACGATGTTCCTCATCAGAAGGAAAACAATTACAATAAACCCTATCCTCAAGGTAGAGTGGGAAGTCTGGGAAAATTTCAGTTAAAACGACGTCAATAAAGGCAAATCGAAATATAGACAAATTAAATAACTACCTAACTCCTATCAATATGAAATCCTAGAAGATAGTGTAAGGTAAGGCTTATGAGTGACTTATCATGATGCCCAAACAGCAAAGACCAAACATTATGGCAACATTGTATAGGGATAGTCTAACACCAGCAATTGTGAAAAAACTACTCAAACAGAGAAAAAGTGTTCCCAAAAATGTTAACAAGGTGTATATAAAAGAACAAAACTTCTCAAAAAATAGTAAGATCCAATCACTCATAAGTACTAGCTAAGGTTAATAATCTTCCAAGATGTCAATGTTCGCATACTAATAGACAAAAATGAACATGATACAGTGAATAGTAGATTGCAACAATGAGAACCTTTCTTCTTTTTTATTTTCTAAATTCCTACCCACGCTACCTATGGTTGAGCGAAAGTTTAATTTATTTATCCGACAACATAATCTTTTCGGTAAAATTATAAATATAGATAGAGTTTGAGTGATTCTTTAAGTGAGTCTCCTTAGTTTTAAAGCTTTTTTTCTTCATCTAACGATAGCAGATTTTGTACTAATTAGAAGTGTTTCGCATCAGAACTAATGAAAATTCTTAGAGTTTAATAGTCTTAGGTAGTTTATTGACTTTTCAAGGATTATTTTTCGTATTGTAAAAGTACCATTGCATAATCTCACCAATCCAAACGTTAACATACACTAAAGACTTCTGGCACAATCTTTCTTGTAGGTATAAACACCTCCATAAAAAATTCACCATCACATACAAAATCTTTGGTAATAAATTTACTGAAAAGTTATACAGATGAAATCATAGAGAAATCATCGTTGTCAACATATGACAAACACTATGCAGTAGTTTTCTGAATGATTCGTTCCTCACTATTCACAAAAATGAGTAGACCACAAATAGTTATACAAAAAATAAGGTAAAAAGATGGCTTTTTTTTGTCTAGCTAACACTTTATCATCAGTATAGCCTTAGATACAATTTTCAGTAATATTAACATCGAAATTAATGTGATCGAAGGTTTCACAACGAAAATAATAACAATACATGATTGATTATATTAAGAACTAACAGTTGTTTGAATGATTGATCTGGTGTACATTGTCAACACTTAATGTCAAATCAAATGTAATGAGTTGATTTATTTGTATTTATTTAAACACATAAATATTGGTACAAAGGAGCACCAGATACATATGCGCCACACAAATCTCATTTGATTTGTGTGAGGGCTGTGATACTGTCCGGGTGCCCAAATAGAAACAGGTGGTTTTCTTAAGGGACCACACCCGGAGCCTTTGATCTGATGGTCTAACCCACAAGGCAGTGGAGCATCGTGAGGAGATGCAGTCCCATGTTAGCCGGTGACCAACAATTGGTTCATACACCATTTGTTCCCTCAGGATACTGGAGCCAGCCCATATGCAACGTTGGTTTAGAATCATGGTTTTCCAACTCCCCTAGGTGAAATTTCCGTGTTCCCTAACCCGGTTAAAGCGCCGGACATTCGCTTTTCATCCTCTCAATTTCGTAAACAACAGTAATGCCACGAGAAGGCAGTGAGTAGGACTTCCCTGGGAGAGGCTATATACGAGTGGCCATGTGAGAGCATTTTTAGAGGGAGAGCGGACTCTCCCAACTCTCGGCCGTACCAGGGCATTTGGGGGCCAACTTGTTTATCTACAGTTTTCAAACTATTTCATTTGTAAGTATTTAAATCCTCTCATTGTTAATATCTAAATCTGTGGTTGATCAATCATTTATTTTGGTATATATACATTCTAGCTGAATTGTCTCGATATAATCATTTTTTTGCAAGTTTTTATGACAAGCTAACAACTGAATCCAGGATATACATTTACTTAGAACTCACCTGCCATACATAATACAAATACAACAACAGTCCAAAATTCCAACCTCTGAAACATACTAATCATTATCAATACTCTTTTACTTTCTTGTTTAAAACTAAAAAAATAAGAAAACTCCATGAAAACCTAAATGGCATAGATTTAATTTCGAGTATATTCATTTGAAATTCATCACTTCATGAAATACCTAAAACACAATCACAATATCTGAAATCTATTTACAAAATCAAATTAAATACTTTAACTATAATTTCAATAACCTTGTGAAAAATTATTTAAAAACATTCGGATTTAAACGAAGATGGATAGTGGCTAGCAGTGGAATCCAGGAAGTGCGTTTCGTCCTATTCGGGACTCTTCAGCCTGATGTACCTGCACCTCAGTATTGATGTTCTCTCTGAGACACGAACCCAGTATCTTTCGCTTCAAACGCCATAGCGCTATCCACTTAGCTACTGAGTCCTGATAGCCACCTGCTTGTGAAATGGAGTGAAGTTATATTCACTTGTTGTTGTTTACTTGTATCTTACCATTGTTATTTTGGACTCCAAGTGATCAGCCTCCTGTTGGCATATGTGTATCTTATGCGGACTGCCTTGAAATCGTCTGAAATCACAAGCTTTATATGCAAAGATGGATAGTGGCTAGTGGAATCCAGAACGCGCGTTTCGTTCTACTCGGGACTGATCAATTGCAGTCCAAAATAACAATGGGAAGATACAAGTAAACAACAACAATTGAATATTCGGATTTAATTTTAAATCCCATAATTCAACTCGATCTGAACGATATTATTAATTAATAATACATTTTATAGTCGAAATCATAAGTCAATTGAAGCTAGACCACCATGGAAAACCTGGAAGCTTTGGATGACCGTTACATGCTATTGTGATTTCCATGATAGTCTAGCTTCAAATGACTCATGATTTCAACTATAAAATTACTAAAATCTCCACAAAAACCCCTTCTGATTATAATGAATTGATTAGTTCACTTCTACTCAAAAAAATTATGCCTACAGATTAGGTTGTGTTGATTGTGATACGTTCTATATATTGAGATTTCTACTCATGCCAAAGAACACTTAAGTTACATACAAAAGACCTCTTAATAATCCTGTAGAATTGGAAAATTTACAGGTAAATCAGCAGTTGCAGTACATGCTATTTTCAATAATCACTAAATTGATATTAAAAATATCAAAACAATTCAGAAAGGTTATTCCAACTACAAAGAGAGTAGCCGAAACATTTCACAGAATGCTAAATCCCTCTGTCCTCAATATGAAAAGAAGGCCTGATTGTTCATCCAACCTGGACTATTTATCCAGACAACCACATTAGGGTTTATTTTGTATTATTTTTACACACACACACACACACACGGACACACCACTTAACCCACCACTTCATATCACAAATGCGTACATTTTTCATACCCACAATCTGATACACAAATTAATACAGTGATAGATCATAAAAATTCACTTTGATCAGAATTACTTGACATTGGCATATTCAGACCTATTATGATTTCGATTGAACTAAAAATGCTTTGCATTGTTTCCTTTGTACTATTTAAACTTGTATTAATTTAATGTCGGTTATCTACTTACTCTGAAGAAGTACCTTATACTAAGTTACGAAATATCAGAAATATAAGTTTCCCATTTATTGGAATATAAGAAACATACATTTTCATAGTTGGAATTATGAGTCAATCGAAGTTAGACCACCAAGAAAAACCTGAAAACACTGGATGGCCGTTTCGTCCTATTATGGGACACCTCAGCATACATTTATTATTAAACTTTTAAATTAATGTCAATCAATCTATTAAGTAGTAAACATATTTGTTATCAGTTTCAAGTAATTCATCGAAGTTAATTACCCGGAAATATGACGAATAAAAGAATAGTTTAATGAAAATTAAAGGAAATCGAAGCATACTGCTAACGCAATGCTAAATATGTCAGTATAGATAGGGAATCTTAAGATGTCTCATAATGTTAAATGATTTAAATAGTATTGTAGTGAACGACAACACGGGTGGGGACAATCGAATGTATTTAAGCACAAATTACAGACTATCTCACTAAATTCTGATAACCATACAGTTGTAAACAGTTAATTTGCAAAATAACAATCAATTATCTCAATCATGACTGTTTTTTCTGCAAATATCAGTCCATCGTCTCTGATTTCATTGTTCATGCATTTTCGTATCGATTGCGCTACATCACTGTTCTTTCCTTATAGATCTTCTACCAAAATACATTCTATGTCTGATCATCACCTTATACTACTTATGTGGACTACTTATATAGACCACACCAAAGCATGTATGTAATAAAAATTATAATTTTGGTGATAGATCAATGAATATTTTACCCGTTTAAAGTGAATTTTTATCACGAATCAATCCTAATGAGTTAGAGAACTATTAAATACCTTCGAGCAATCGACAGCTGACTTATAAAAGTTTATGAGTTGTCAATAATGAGCTACTGTTATACACATATAGGATCAAATTGAAAACTTACGGATCTTACAATAAACACGATATGTTAAAATCACTGAGATAAAATCCAGTGTTTCACATATCCTATTTTAGTCAATTTAAGATATCTCACGACATTATTATCATCGTCCACTACCAATCATATACAACATATTAGACTTAACAGTTGTTGAATACTCACTAATTTTTTATTGTTCAGTAGACCTAAAAATGATTGAATTATCCCTTTGTTAATATTCTTAACTAAATTTTGGTCCATTTTTGTTAATACATATACAATCTGTGCAGATTGCCTCAAGATCTAAGAATATTCAGCTGATCAGATCTAAATAACATGAAATTCAAGTTTTGTACTATACTACTACTAGCCATAATCCATTTAACCTACATTAAAATTGTTTCTTTTCATAAAAAAAAACTTAAGAGCGAAAGTCTTCTCAAATCGCTTATATAGACTCAGTAATAGTAAATAGAAATTTTTAATAGTAACTGTCATAATTAACAATTAACTTACCTTAGTAACTAAACAAATGAAAAATACCTTAAAACTGTTTCATATAAAACAAATAACAAACTGATCTCATATTTATAATATTTTTTTAAAACACCCACTAATAAATATGTATATTTTTTAAAACAAAACAAAACAACTAAACATATAGACAGTAAAAAAAACGACATTGTTCAAGTTTCAATTGGATAACAACTGAATGTAAATCTGTTCCAGTCTTTCTCATGTTCATAGTAAAAACTAGATAACGAAGAAGGATTAGTGAGATACAAAAAAAAAAGATAAACTTAGCAAGCGTATACGGATGGTGACTACCAGTAGAATCCAAGTTATGCGTCTCCTGTTATTTGAAACTCGTCAGATAGATGTACTTGTATTTCCGAGTTGATGCTCATTTTAGGGTTTGAACCTAGTATTGTTCGTTTCAATTGCTATTGTTTGATTCACTTAGCTACTGAGTTGAGATAGACACTTGCTTGTGCAATGGGGGGAAATTTTAATTGATTAAATTTAAACTTGATACAGTGATTAGTGTTACTAACTGTTCTAATTATATTAAGATGTCTCTAATTAAACATTAACAAACAAACAAACAAACTTGTATCTTGGTTGTGATCACACTATCTTTATAAGATACACAGTTTTTGCTTACACACTGTTGATATGTGTGTGTATTAAAATGTATCCATTGATAAAACTCATTTGTGATTTTTGTCATAGAATATATGACATGGATTGAAGAAGAGATTTGTAGCGCCAATGAAGTAGAGGAAACAAAAACAATCCAATTCAAGTTGGAGTAGCTAAGATTATCCTGTTATTGATATCTTTGATTGAAATTTTATCTCTCTTAGTTGGCATGGTACATCCAGTTGAGGAATCCAAAATAGGACGAAACAAGTGTCATGAATTCCACTGTTAGCCTTATTCCATCTATTCTATATGAAAAATAACCTGACTGATCTATTATTATTATTATTCTATGATTTTCGTTATAGACCTTATCATATGATGAAGTGTTAAACAACTTAAAAATAGTTGGAAGCATGAGTCAATTGAAGCTAGATCATCATGGAAAACCTGGAAGCACTGGATGGCCTTTCCGTCCTATTATGGGACTCACTGAAGACAATTGATGAACGGTTGCCCAAATTCGTGGATCAGTTGAAGTTAGACATTAACATCATCGGATGCCAGCCCAGTGGTCTATCGGTTAAGTGCTCTGGCGCGAGACTGGTAGGTCCTGGGTTCGAATTTCACAAGGCGAGATCATGGATGCACACTACTGAGGAGTCCCGTAATAGAACGAAACGGCCGTCCAGTGTTTCCAGGTTTTCCATGGTGGTCTAGCTTCAATTGACTCACGCTTTCAACCAGTAAAATACAAAATCTCCACAAAACCCTTTCTGATAACTTAAAAATAACTTATTAAAATTGGAAATCGAAATAAAAAATCAAATTTTACATATTTAGTTCACAGTATTAGTCTATTGGTTTAACATTAGTAGTAGTATTTTGTTTAGTAATCTCATATTTTTGTATAATCTACACCAATGAACATTCTTAGTTAAACAATCATTGGGAAGTAGGAAGTACTGAATAGCTATTTCGTGCTTATACTGAAAAATACTATGTACTGTCTAATGACTTATTTCAAGAAGTAATTAATGCAGTTCTAATGAGAAATCCTAACCAGTAGAGTTTAGTCACATCGATTACGAGTCAGTTACTAATCAATTGGATTAGCAGTCGATCACGTAATATCGCAAAGTAATTGAAACTGGATATATAAACCATTAAATGGTAATATAGTGGTTTGAATATTAGGTGCTAGCCATGAACTCTAAGTGTTCTGGGTCCGATCACTAGATGGAGTACTGGATGTACACTGCTGAAGATGTGTATACTAGGATGAAACGGATTTACATTTCTTACTGGTACTCAGTATTTGTTGAACTAAGATCAGTTTGTGATTTGGTCCGTTAAATTTAATAGTCTACACAAACTCTTTTTAGTGATGTCATATTTCTTGTCAAAGTACCTATAATTTATACTTAAACATGTAGAATAGTTAATATAATGAATCAAAGAGCCTCTTTGATAATATTCAATAAAAAGTTGAAACTTTGCTTCCATCTACTTGGATTTGAGCACTCAGTCATC